TTAATCGAAAATTTGCCCCACGATCAACAAAACGCCACACAAGATGCCAGTGGCCAGTAACTCTTCAAGGCATATCGAAGCTGTTACACAAGGACATTGGGGCATTGTTCGAATGAAGCAGTTAGCTAGACAACATGTTTGGTGACCTACGATCGACGCAGACATTAAAAACCTTCTCAGTCATGCCAGCATCTGCAAGTGCAACAATCCTGCTCCTCCAAAAGATAAAGTTGGCCTGGAGCAACAACAGCGTGGGGCGAATTCATATCGACTCCGGCCTTGATATTCGATTCTATGTGGCTAATCTGCGTAGTCGCTTACTCGCAGTTCCCATTTGTAGTTCAAATGTCGTCCACTACAACCGCCAACACGATCACTGCACTGTCATCGATATTCGCCATCGAAGGATATCTAAAAACCATGGTCAGCGACAACGGTCCGCAGCTTAGGAACGCCTTCGAGGAATTCTGCAAACATCATGGAATAAAACACATAACCGCAGCGTTCCATCCGGCATCCTACGGATTAGCAGAGCGTTCAGACGTTCAAATTCTCAGTCAAGAAGAACCTCAAAGACGGTATACCAGTAGAAGCAGGTTTTAAATACCTTGCTTCTTACAGGTTCACTCCAAACTCCAACGGAAAATCTCCTGCCGAGTTAATCCATGGTCGTCCAGTCCGTACCGTACTAAGTCAACTTTTCGAGCAGCCTGTCGATGCCAAGCAATCGGTTACCAAGTACGTCCCAAATCAAATGGTCTACGCTCGTAACTACTCGGAAGGAAAAAAGTGGATTGAAGGCATTATCGACCGTCCAATTGGAAAAATGCTTTTCATGGTTCGCACCACAAATGGTTATATCAAGCGCCATTTCAACCACCATCGAAAAACCTCCAGAGTTCTGGTGGATTCCGGATATTCCGCAAACATCTTCAAATCAACCACCACAACAACAAGATCAACCATCACTACAAGAAGATCAACCGGTAACTCCGCCAGCCGTTCAGCAACGTTATCCTGAACCTGAGCCACCCGAGAGCTCCACATCATCTAACCAACAACCAAGGCAAAAACAACCACCACGACTTTCATCCGGCATACCTGTTCGCCAAAGTAGTCGTGTTCGCCAAGAAGTAAATCGTTTTAAGCCCAAGGATTTCCGAAAACCTAAAAATACTATTCGTTCTTAATTAAAGGAGGAGATGTGTTATATATTGTCAACAGTACATCTGTTTTCTATTCCTCCATTCTATACTCTGTTAGTACTTTAAGAACCTGGCAACTCTGTATGCTTCGCATGGAATAAAAGCAGTCTGAAATAGAACTCAACGAGAACACAACATAAACTGGTCCCATTTCCTGAAGGGCGTGAGATATTCAGAACGTGAGGATATTCACCGTTAAGCTCTCGGCGCGATCTGAGTCGCCAACGAGTTGGCTGCCAATGAACGCACGCAAAAGAAAAGAAAGCCACAGAGAACGGTCACACTGTTAATTTGTGCGGAGTAGAAAGCACAGTGCCATAAACAACGAGAAGAATCGGAAGAAAATATTTGGAAATCGATGAAACTGTATTGATTGTTTATATATTTGTATATCTTGTGACTCCCTTTGTTGACTTCTGTTTTTTTTGTTTATTTTAATTTTTCCCTTAGTTAGTGTTGCCAAATAATTTGATTGTATTAAGGTTTTTATTTATTTTTTTTTTTTGGGTTTGGAAAATATCTTTGATTGCAAAAAAAAATCCGGAAAACCGCAATAAAAATAAATTAATTAATCCATTAAATAAATTAATTACTTTGCTTTTGGAAATAATTAAATAATATTTATAATTAAATAGTAATTATAATTATGAATTAATAATTTATATAATTAAATTATAATTATTATTATAAATACTTATTTTTTTTCTCGGAGCCGGAATGGTGGAATTAAAAAACCTTGGCTTTGGTTCGGGAGAAGCGTTCACTGGGTTATGCCGGTCGGCAGCGCAGTGCATGCGTGAGGGCGCGGTAGAGAGAGAGAAGAAAAAAAACAGCAACAATAACAACACGGCCGCGAAAAAACAATCACGGTCGCACCCGTGTGGATTTGAATTTATTTTATTTTATGTTCCTGAATGTGGAGGCAGAAAATATATTTATGTAGATATGGGCATGCATGCGTTTATGGATATGTGTATGTCCCTGTATGTGGAGGCAGAAAATAGTTCTATGTATGTGTAAGTGTATATCGGTACAGTAGAGCGTCGAAGAGTGGACTGTATTTGAAGTGACGGAACAGATAAAATTATGTGGAGAGAAAAAAAAACACAAGGCAAAAAAATATCTCGACAGCGGCGGATTGTACGGTGAACAGGGAAACTCCCGAAATTACTTCACACCGAGTGACTGATATTAGTTATGCCTTTTTATTTTCCACCACGCAATTTCACTTTTTGTCGTATTTTTTTGGAGGCAGAATTGCACTGCACTATGTACACAAGTTGTCACGCGCGTGTGTGTATGTCTGGATGCACATATGTATACCTTGACCGTTGGCAAGTTGATGTACAACGGGGAACGAAAGGAAAGCGGCAAGGAGTATGGCGACGCACACAAAGCGGAGACGGATAGAAAATTTTTTGGAATTGAAGGAATGTTAAATTTCTCGAGCCGTTGTGTCGGGAAAACTCGGACGTGGAGTTGACACAAAAAAAATCTTACTGCTGTGTGAACGAAATTTAATGTTCTAACCACTGCTAAAGACCGGCAGCGAGAGGGAGTCGGAAAATGCTCGTACTTATCTTTTTTGCGGAAGAAATCACAGGAGCTGCTGGTCGAATGGCAGACGGATATCCTTATCCGGTTCGAATGGACCAAAATGTTTGTAGGGGGCGATCCTTCCACAAAAAACACTTGAGGCACAGCAAAGATTCCCACGGCGCAAACGTAATGGAAGACGAGAAAAAATGACGAAGTCGGGGGCGTCGTGGTATATTTCAATGTATTTCGTTCAGCTGTATACAAGAGACTCATTAAAACTTAAAACTAAAACCGCGCTCCCGCCCGCTTTACTCCGTTCAAGCGAGAGCGGGAGATCGGCAGCGGCCGTCCGAGGAGTTCGGATGCGAAACCCGAAGTTCGCACTCTGGAGCGCGGACGTTGCCAGAGGCGAGTGAGGGAGCGCAAGAGGGGCGAGAGCGAAAGCTCGGAGAGCTCAGTGTCCAGCGCCAATGCAGTGGGCCACTGACCTAAACATAGTCTTACTAAAGTAATTAATAGCGACTCCTGAAGATTTAAAAGCATTTAAAAATACAGTTGTCATATATGTATTTATATTATTATATATGTATATATACTGAGACAAAAAGCTTACCAAGAATTTTTGTCACACCAATGTCAGTGGACTCGTCCAACAGAAGGCTATAAGCGGCGTTTCCGATGTCAGAGCGTCGTCCATAAAATGCACTGCAAGTACATTTTTCATAATGTAGGTGCACTTGGTTCTTCCTAATTTTATATTTGCAGCAGCTTTGAAAGCCAAAAACTGCTCCACACACAATTTCGACAAATGATCGCTTGTCGCCATCGCCGTGTTTTTTGCAATGCCGCTTCTTGTTCCTCCGTTTTCGTGGACTTTTGAAGGAAGGGCAACTTATTTTTTTGAGTAACAGCGCCCATCGCAGCCACGTAATTTTTCGATGCGGCATGGCGTCGGATCTTGAAAAGTTTCGCGCCTATTGTGGATTTGCAATACGCACAATAGGCCCTGTTAGTGTCCGTGCAGTCCTTGCGAATTCACTCCTTAAACTCGTCGTCGCGCAGCAAGGCGTCCCGAAAATGTTGCTTGTATATTTTTGGCATCTTTACCGACACAACACAGCACAAAAGTGATCAAAAGTGTTCATATGATTGAACCACTGAGTCCTGATATCTTTGTGAACCATTTTCGATCGTAATTGGTTCAGTAAATTGGAATAGGTATGAAAAAGTTTAAAATGATTAAGAAAAATAAAAAAATGTTTAGTTTTGTAAAAAGTTGCTAAAATTGATTAAAAAAAAAAAAAATTAAAAGTTGCTAGATTTGTTGCCAATAGCAAATCGAAAAAAAAATGGACAAATTTTGTTAAAAGTTGCTAGATCGAGCAACTAAATAGCTAAACTGGCAGCCCTGTACGGGATTGCCAGTGTTCCAGCGATCTTCCAAAGGTAATTGGAGCAGCTTCTAAAAGGAGTAGAAGGATGTGGCAACAACTTAGATGACATTATCATCTCAGCACCTACAAGTGATCAACATCTAAAGCGAATCGACCAAGTTCTCAGTATTCTTCTTGAGAATGGTATCAAATGCAAAAAGGAGAAATGCTTCTTTTTCACGGACGAAATAGAGTACTTAGGACGAAGAATCAGCGCTCAAGGGATTCTTCCAGACAGCTCAGGCTTGGAGGCTGTTAAATTGTTGCGCCCACCTTCTAATCTACAGCAATTAGAAGCATTCATGGGTAAAGTTTTACTATTGCAACTTTATACCGAATTATTCTCAGTTGGCCGCTCCTTTGAACCAACTTCGTAGAAAAAATGTAGCACACCTTTTTGGGACGCAACAACAACAAGCTTTTACAGCCCTGAAGTCCCATATTATCAACGCTACTCAGCTAGCTCATTTCGATGAAAACCTACCGTTAGTCCTTGCAACGGATGCATCATCTTTTGGTATCGGTGTAGTCCTTTCGCATATACAACAATATGGCAAGGAGAGACCTATCGAAAAGGACAAACTTCTCAAACAAGTCTTACGGTATGTTACTGTAGGATGGCCAGAAAAACTTCAGCAAGGCGAGGAAGCATTATCACCACACTTTAATCGAAAATTTGCCCTCACGATCAACAAAAAATTGCTTTGCCTACACACAGATGCCAGTCGTGTAGTAATCCCAGTAACTCTTCAAGCGCATATCCTGAAGCTGTTACACGAAGGACATTGGGGCATTGTTCGAATGAAGCAGTTAGCTAGACAACATGTTTGGTGACCTACGATCGACGCAGACATTAAAAACCTTGCTCAGTCATGCAGCATCTGCAAGTGCAACAATCCTGCTCCTCCAAAAGAGTACCAAAGTTGGCCTGGAGCAACAACAGCGTGGGAGCGAATTCATATCGACTTCGCCGGCCCAATATTCGATTCTATGTGGCTAATCTGCGTAGTCGCTTACTCGCAGTTCCCATTTGTAGTTCAAATGTCGTCCACTACAACCGCCAACACGATCGCTGCACTGTCATCGATATTCGCCATCGAAGGATATCTAAAAACCATGGTCAGCGACAACGGTCCGCAGCTTACGGCAGACGCCTTCGAGGAATTCTGCAAACATCATGGAATAAAACACATAACCGCAGCGTTCCATCCAGCATCCTACGGATTAGCAGAGCGTTCAGACGTTCAAATTCTCAGTCAAGAAGAACCTCAAAGACGGTATACCAGTCCGAGTAGCAGGTTTTAAATACCTTGCTTCTTACAGGTTCACTCCAAACTCCAACGGAAAATCTCCTGCCGAGTTAATCCATGGTCGTCCAGTCCGTACCGTACTAAGTCAACTTTTCGAGCAGCCTGTCGATGCCAAGCAATCGGTTACCAAGTACGTCCCAAATCAAATGGTCTACGCTCGTAACTACTCGGAAGGAAAAAAGTGGATTGAAGGCATTATCGACCGTCCAATTGGAAAAATGCTTTTCATGGTTCGCACCACAAATGGTTATATCAAGCGCCATTTCAACCACCATCGAAAAACCTTCAGAGTTCTGGTAGATTCCGGATATTCCGCAAACATCTTCAAATCAACCACCACAACAACAATATCAACCATCACTACAAGAAGATCAACCGGTAACTCCGCCAGCCGTTCAGCAACGTTATCCTGAACCTGAGCCACCCGAGAGCTCCACATCATCTAACCAACAACCAAGGCAAAAACAACCACCACGACTTTCATCCGGCATACCTGTTCGCCAAAGTAGTCGTGTTCGCCAAGAAGTAAATCGTTTTAAGCCCAAGGATTTCCGAAAACCTAAAAATACTATTCGTTCTTAATTAAAGGAGGAGATGTGTTATATATTGTCAACAGTACATCTGTTTTCTATTCCTCCATTCTATACTCTGTTAGTACTTTAAGAACCTGGCAACTCTGTATGCTTCGCATGGAATAAAAGCAGTCTGAAATAGAACTCAACGAGAACACAACATAAACTGGTCCCATTTCCTGAAGGGCTTATAACATTAAAAGTTACTTCTGAATCACTAAGTCAAAAAGTAGCATTATTAGAATATCTCTCGATAAGATTTCTTTGTAAAGATTGTTGCTTGGCCAAGAAGAGAAACTTTCAATCATCCAGAGGGAAGAAGTTTTGCGAACATGGATAGGAAGGAAAAATTTCCGTCGAGTTGGGGGTAACATATGCTGTCGTATCTGACTGCATGTTGTAAGGATGTTTTCCCAGCCAGCATATGCTCAGGTGTTGGCCGGGGCCTCCACAAAATATTTATAAATTTACAGTGGACGATGTGGGATAATCGAGTGTGTTTTGGGGCGTGATCTGTATAATTAGGAGAAGAAATTGAACCAAAAGGGACATGACTAGACCTACAACCTGTTACCTAGCCCGGGCGGACCCTGGTCGTGGCAAACAGCTATGGTAAAATTTTACGTCCGTTACAGGCTTTATCTGTGACTACACTAAAGTCTTGTCGAGATAGGGCTTGACTACGATAAAACTCGGGCGGGCTCTGTGGGTGTTAATGACTATAGAAAAAACTCAGGCGGGACCTGGGTTTTGTTAACAACTACGACAAAACTCGGGCGGACCCTGGGTTTTGTTAATAACTACGATAAAGTCGGGAGAACCCTGGTTTTTATTAATAACTACGGTAAACTCGGGCGAACCCTGGGTTTCGTTACTTATTACGATAAAACTCGGGCGGACCCTGGGTTTTATTAATAACTACGGCAACCTCGGACGAACCCTGGGTTTCGCTACATATTACGATAAAACTCGGGCAAACTACGGTAAAACTCGGGCGGACCCTGAGTTTACTAATAACTACGGTAAAACTCGGGCGGACCCTAAGTTTACTAATAACTACTTTAAAACTCGGGCGGAGCCTGGGTTTCACTACCAATTACGATAAATCTCGGGCAGACCCCTGGGTTACATTATATTAATAACTATGGTACAACTCTATTAACGGCCGATATATTAGTTAATTACGCGTCGGGGTTACGGTTCAGTTACGTTTGATCCATTTCCGGGTAGGGTTATTATTATTTGTTATAATTAATTTATTTATTCGCCGGGCTCAGGGAAAAAAAATACGCACTCGTTGTCGAAATTATAATCCATTATTCTAGTCTTTATTCACAGTTGGCTTCTTTCGTCTTCTCGTCTTGTTTACAGAAATTCACAAATCTTCGTTCTACAGTTTTACGATCTAATCGCGTTTATCGCTGCACCAGTAAAATTTCTGCACGACTGTACCGTTTCGCTTACCGACTAAAAACCGCGTGGTCTGCCTAATTGCGACTTATTTCGTCTTCCTAATTATGTCTATCCGGCGCTGATGTTGGCGCGTCAATCCCCTGATTTCCTTCGCATCTTCGTTCTCGTGCCCTTGGCCCTTCCGATCTCACCATTTTCTCGCAACTTCCTAACTTTAAAAACACCAAAGTTATGGCATTTCCAATCATTCAGTTATATGGCAGCTGTAGGATATAGTCGGCTGATCCTTATGAAATTTGGTAGGCAAATTGCCAAGATATAAAACCCATAGAAAATCCCAACTTCCTAACTTTACAAACACCAAAGTTATGGCATTTCTGATCATTCAGTTATATGACAGCTATAGGACATAGTCGGCCGATCAAAGCCGTTCCGACTTTTATACTGCGTGCAGAGAAAGAAGGGTGTGTGCAAAGTTTCATTTCGATATCTTTAAAATTGAGAGACTAGTTTGCGTAGAAACAGACAGACGGACAGACGGACATGCTTATATCAACTCAGGAGGTGATCCTGATAAGGAATATATATACTTTAGATGATGTCTTCTTCACTGTCAAAATTATAATACCCTCTGCAAGGGTATAAAAATACGTTTCGGTACTATAAAGTATATAAATATTTTGCAGTATAGTTATTCTGCCATGTCCGCCTGTCTTTTCGAATGACTGTTGAGATATTAGACACTAAGAAAAAAAATTGAATTTGAAAGCTAACATGCAGATTTAGCTATGCTTACGATGCTTAAGTTTATAATTTTGGGCACGCCCGCTCTAACTCCCACAATTCTCGGTATATACCTATCGACACAGCAAAAATTTCTTAAGTAATACAATTTTTTAAGAAATTATTAAGAAATTAAAGTCAAACTGTGAATTAGTGACGTTATTGAAATATGCCTTTTTGTATTTATTTCACAGGTATTGGGGCGGTATTGGTGATGTCAGTTAGGTTCTTTTTTCTATAATAGCTAGAAGCTCATCTGTATAAGATGAGGGGAAAAAGGGTAGAGTGCTTAATAGGTTCAGCTTCCTTTGAGATAGCAGAGCTGGAAATGTTGTTTGTTTGATATCCGTCTGTGTAGATGTACTTAGGTGAATGAGAGATTATTGGTTTGCTTTTCTGTGAAGAGTGTTCAGATTATTTGTGGGGTTGTGTTTATTGTTAAAGTTATTTAGGGTTGTATTAATTCTTAAAATGTTGATGTTCTGTGGTGGTGTGGTTGGCAAATGGTTGGTTTTGCAAATGTATATTATTTGGTATATGGCTAATTTGTTTTGGCTATGGCTTAATATTATATTATTAAATTAAGGTAATCTTTTTAAAATTTTTAAAAGATTAAAAAAAAAACGTTATGTAGCTAAAGCAGTTCTTTACATTGTGGGTAAATGTAATGTCAGGACTTTCTGGTATGGAAAATTTACTTGCGGATGTAATAAAAATATAATATTCTGCAAAACGAATACATATTAATGTATGTTTAAAAACAATGAAGCTCAGTTGATTTTCCAAAAAAATGTTCCATAGTTTCTTTGTTGCTTGATGTTGACGTTCGATTATAGCACTAGTCTCTTTCCAGTTATTTTTCTGATTGATTTAAAACTGTGGCCAAAGAACTGGGGCCAAAGAACTGGGGCCAGAAATCGACAGACATGAGGACGCCTGAAGTAACTCAAAAGAAATTAGAGGAAGAGCTTTTAAAAAGGATTTGTTGTGTCATTTCAGTTAGATATATTAAGATATGCTTTAAAAGGTCACGTGCAAGTCCTAATAAAGGTAGCTTTAACACAAGAAGCGAGTGATTAACAGAAGCAACTATTTTACTAAATTCAGTGTAAACTACGTATGTCTGAACGTTATTTCTTAAAACATTTTTTACAAAAGACGTTAAATTCAAGAGGTTTGTCGTCGTAGATATTCGCCTTATAAATCCATGTTGACTTGGAGATATAATTGATGTACAAAGATGTTGCAAGTATACCCCACTTTTAACTTATAATAACCTTTTCGAAAGTTTTTGGATGACAGAAAACTTGGATAGACCTCTGTAATTGCTTTTATTCAATTTATTTTCATTCTTATGAAGGGGAATAAAAACTGACTATTTCTAAATAAGTGGGAAGTGAGAAGTTTCCAAAAATAAAGTAAACAATTTGTTCAGAGGTCTGCACAAAGTTTCAGCGTAGTATCTAAGCACGCAGCCTGGATCTCCGTCGATCCCAGTGTATAGACTTTTTTAACTTTTTGGAGGGGGAGATTTTGCTTAAGCTCGGAAAAAAAATAAATTTGACTTGGTCATGGTATATGAATAAGACGTACTTGGACGAGATAAAGCTAAAAAAACTAGGCAAATAGATCGTCAATCGCCTGATCAGTAGTTGCTTAGAATTTTAAATGATTGAAAAGTCTGGACATTTTTTAAGTTTATTTGAAATTGACGGATAGTATAACGGAACAGATAAAAGAAGGGGTTCAATGCATTATAAAATATATTAACGACCTCAGCCATGTTAGTGTATGAATAAAAGTATTTAAATGATGAAAGTTTGCCCTACAAAAGGAGCGAATTCGTTTAACTGACTTTTCGGAATTTTTATTTAGCTCTGTTCTTGCATCTACAGTCAGTTCTAGAGTTGGGTGATAGGGACCCTCCGGTTGTGTAAGTGGTCATGTTCTTAATAGACAAACGCCTTCTGGATTTGAAACGCAACATAAGTCCAGTAAACGGTTTAAGGAGTTTTTAAGATGGTTTACATGGGATAGCGCAATGTCAAGCAAACCGTCAATAAAGTCATGCTGAGCTAAAGGAAGTAAAATATTAGAGTTTTCGTCTGGGGACCAAGTTGCACTAGTTATATTGAAATCACCTAATATTACTAAATGATCTCGATCTGCCCGTTTATTGGAAATTAACTGATTAACGTAAAGGAGATTCGCGTATTGGGCTATCGCTCTAGCTGCATCTATATATATAAAACTGTTCATTGAAAACTAAGAATCAACGTACAGCCTAAACTAATTAAATGACCCTATTAAAATTTTTTACCATTCAATTCTTATAACACTAAACTGATTTGCTAAGATTTATTTTGGCCACAAACATGCCCCCATTTTCTTCCAGTGGCAAAAAACCCCCAATTTCTATAAAAAAATCTGGACGCTAAACGCGTTAATCAATCGATGCGATTTTTGGCCAAAAATTTAGTCCTCTACATAATAAAGATTCAATTTAATTTAATATTTGATATTTTAATGTTTACTATTTTTTATCGATCTTTGAAAATCTAAGAATCTTCCCCATTTTTTCCAAACGGCAAAAAAACACTGATCTAAGTCAATTAGCAATATGAAAATTTATCGAGGGAATCCTGATACTTTAAGGATTCATATGGTGGTTTTACTGAAGCTCTAGGTCAATTCTAAAAAAAGTTACATTAGCCTAAAGTAGGAATAATAATTCCAACAAATTATACACAAGCATTGAACA